ATGAAGTTCAACAAGGCCAAGTGCAAGGTCCTGCATGTGGGTCGGGGCAATCCCGAGCACAAGTACAGGCTGGGTAGAGAATGGATTGAGAGCAGCCCTGAGGAAAAGGACTTGGGAGTGCTGGTGGATGAGAAGCTCAGCATGAGCCGGCAATGTGCACTGGCAGCCCAGAAAGCAAATCGTATCCTGGGCTGTATCCAAAGAAGTGTGGCCAGCAGGTCGAGGGAAGTGATTCTGCCCCTCTACTCAGCTCTCTTAAGACCCCACCTGGAATACTGTGTTCGGCTCTGGAGTCCCCAACACAAGAAGGACATGGAGCTACTGGAGGAAGTCCAGAGGAGGGACACACAGACGTACTGAGGGGCACCTCTGCTATGAAGACAGGCTGAGAGAGTTGAGGCTGTTCAGCCTGGAGAAGAGAAGGCTCCGGGGTGATCTTATAGTAGCTTTCCAGTACCTAAAGGGGGCCTACAGGAAAGGTGGAGAGAGACTTTTTACAATGGCATGTAGTGATAGGACAAGGGGCAATGGCTTTAAACTGAAAGAGGGCAGATTTAGATTGGATGTGAGGAAGAAATTTTTTACATTGAGGGTGGTGAGGCACTGGAACAGGTTGCCCAGAGAAGTTGTGGCTGCCCCATCCCTGGAGGTGTTCAAGGCCAGGTTGGATGAGGCTTTGGGCAACCTGGTGTAGTGGAGGATTTCTCTGCCCATGGCAGGGGGGTTGGAACTAGATGATCTTTAAGGTCTCTTCCAACCCTAACCATTCTAAGATTCTATGATTCTATGTTCTGCAGGATGGGAGCGTGTTTGTTCTGTTTGGGCTGTTACAACCTAATCCAACACAGGTGGAAGATTTGCCAGTGAATTTAATAAACTTTTAATACAGCTGCAGTAGGATTTGTGTTCTTTCCTCCAGTCTTGCTTCTGCTTTCCGTCTCCAGCTGTGTGAAGACTTCCTTTTGTACCGTGCAGGGATTGTGCTCACGATTGTATTCCCCAATATCGTTAACACCTCTTTGATGCTGCTTCTGATCAATTCCTTACTATGAAAAGGTGGTTTGATCCCACTTTGTTTAGTGATATTATTTCTTTTCATTAAAGAATTGTTTTACTTCATGTTAAATCATTACAAATTATACCTGTTGTTAGAGTAGCTGAATCTTTGATTTCTCTTTCCTTCGTTTCATTTGTCTGCATAGGTTTCAGCCACTGCTGCTTGGGACTCTTCTGTTCATGATTCAGTGCACCTGAATAGGGTAACTCCTCAAAATGAGAGAATTTACTTAATAGTGAAGACTACTGTGCAGCTCAGCCATCCTGCTGCAATGGAACTGGTATTACGCAAAAGGATTGCAGCCAATATTTATAACAAGCAGGTAATAAGTTTATATGTTTTTTTTATTATTAATTTGTTTCATATCCTTAATTTTATGAATGTGTTTTCTTAGCTGCTTGCTTCATTTTGTAGAAGTTTTGATCTCTCCAGTTCTTATGAAAGACAAATGAAAAATAGATCATTATAGGTCGCAGTGAAGCTGTGCACTTCTGGTATATTCCTTTGAACAATTTGATTTGGTTTTTCAACTTGGTTAGGTTCAGAGTGTAACAGATGCTACTTTTGTGACAAAAACGTCTACCTTCTTGTCTATACAATTTGAAATGTTCTTTGATTCAGGAAAGTTTGCAGTAGTTTATCTAATTGTTTACCCGATAGTAGTCACTGTAGCCACTCTATTCCTGAAAGGATCTTTGGAGCCTTCAGATGTTGAGTGTAAACACAATAGATCTTTTTGCCTTCTCTTTGCTGCTTTCTCTGCTAATTGCAAACTAGGCTTGTGTCCTGCCACTACCCAAATGTATACATTCTCTACCCCCTTTAACACGATGATTTTAGACAGGATGTTTTCTTGGGCCGCAGGAGTGGTTACTATTTCCCTTGCATTGCTGCTTCGTGGGTTTAGACAACGAGGTGCTCTCTGAAATTATGTTCCATTCTGTTTGCCAGGCGATTGAGGCCAAGACTGTATTTCAGAACGGCTTCAGTGTGGGAAGGAGCACAAAACAGCTGTTGTACTATTAAGCAACTTGCTAAGCAGTTGAATTCCATGCCTTTTTGCATTTGGCGTGTTGTCCTTTGCTGGTTTCATTTGTCTAAAATCCCTTAATAGATGAAAGTTAAGTTTACAGTTAGTGATGTAAGGGCTAACTAACCTGACAATGAAGCTAACCTTGTGATTGCAACAGTGAAAACTCTGGTTACTATTTCAGTTGTGGCTAGAAAGCAGAGTTATGCTTTGCTATTGCAAAAGGTGTTTTCTACCTGTTTAACAGGTGGCTGACAAAATGAGAAACGTTGGTTATCTGTACATTAGAGACTTCTTACAGCCACAGTTTCTCAGTTACAAGTTACTACATGAGGATAGAGTATCAGTGCAAAATAGGAGAATGTTACCAATTGAACTTACCATTGTGTACTGATCGCAGGGCTGTAAAGAGTACTTAAAGGATCATTAATGCTAGAAGGTACTTACTGAATTATGGTCCTGAAGAATGTGCTTTTGTAGTAAAATAAATTTTTGTGTTGTAACCTTTTATTTCTTAGAATGTCATAAATAATTGTTATCAAATCAATAACTGAAAATTACTTTGTTTCTAGAGTTTTACCCAGAGCCTGAAAAGGAGAATATCCTTGAAAAATATATATTATGCCTGTGGAGTGACCTATGAAATAGTATCCAATATACCGAAGGTAAATTATACGATATTTCTCTGGTAAATTCACTGAAAGTAACAGAATGACCTTCTGCAGCGAGTGATACTGATTGTGAAGTTAAATGTCCCCCTTTGCTAACAGGAGGCAGCTTGCCAAAGCGTATATCTTGAAGTTCAGTGGTGAGATCATGTTTATCTTTAAACAGTTGAAAACTGTGGATTTTGTTTTCTCTTCTACTGTGTTTAACTGAGTTCTTGTAGTAGAGCTATTTTTGAAATCATATTAGTGTCTACAGAGAAAATATAGAGGGTACTCAGAGGGATGTTCGGGTCAGTGAAAACAGAATAGCTGGGAAAATGAGTTTGCAGGAATATAATTTGCTTTTTATAGAAAAAGCTTGTACAAATTATAAGTGTACTACAAAATTTATTTTTAAAGTAAATTGGACAAATGAAAACGTAAATAGTCTTATTTCCGTGGAACTGTCACTTTTGTGCAGTAGTACTTAAATTTTAAATTCTAGGGAAATCACACAGAATGTCCAGGATTTGGAAAGAAAGTTGCATTTACTTGCCTAGGAAGTCGTCGTTAGTTAATCCTTAGCATAGGTGATTTCGGGTTGTGTATGTTATACCTAGAAGCACTTGACTACAATAAACTTGCAAAACTTCTACCAGGCATGACCTCTCTTAGTTCAGCATCATTTACATCTGTGTTAAAAAGTCCTGGGTCATTGATTATAATTGGGATTACTGATTTAGTTAAGGATTATCAATTCAAATTAATTTCTGGATTGAAGTGGTCCAAATAAATGGATCACTATATTAAAACCAATAGGCTTTAATTTTTAAAAACTTTAATAGTGTAACTTGTAATTCAGGCTACAGAAGAAATTGAAGATCGTGAGACTTTAGCACTGATGGCCGCAAGGAGTGAAAATGAGGGCACCTCTGATGGCGAAACGTACATTGAAAAATACACACGTGGTGTGCTGCAAGTGGAGAACATTTTGAGCCTTGAACGACTAAGACAGGCAAGGAGAAGGCGCTTCTTGCACCTTTTGAACTGGATTCTGAGAATTCAAGTAGAGATGATTGATCTTTTAAAAATATTAAGTGTTGGTTGTTTTTAGTTTGGTGGTTTTGGAGAACATTGGATGGATAAATGTAAGCCTAAGTTACTTCTGTGAAGTACAGAATTCCAGCAGTGGTGAGACTAATAACTGGCTGGCGATGGTGTAGTACTCGGAATCTGAACAGGCAAAGACCAAAGAATTAATTTCACAAATTAATTTTGATGGTTGCATGTGCAAATTAAGATTTGCAAATGTAAGCCCTGTTTGCTGTTGCTAACCACACTGAAAAAAGTCTCTATCCTGCTTGATCGTTTCTCGTGAGGAGACCATGGCATTGTCCATCTTTGATACAAGCACTTTTTTAGTGTAATCATTTCTTCATGCAGGCAGTCACAGTCAAGGAGGCACTCTCCACCAAAGCGAGAAACATCCGCAGGAGCATCAGCACTCCGAATGTCCACAATGTAAGGACCCTTTATCTTCTGGTAAATTAGTACTGTTTGAGCAGGGAGATGGTGTCTGTGTGCTGATGTAATACTTGCACAGTGTGATATCATCATAATTATTCCGAGCTAGACCTAACCAACCTGTAGAAGAGTTGTAATGAATTAATTGGTCATTTAATAGAAACCCCTCCCCACAACTGTCCATCCTGGGAGATGACAAAGTTGACGGGGAAGTGGGAGCATTGGTCTAAACTCTTCTTTTATAAGAGTTTTGAAAGTGGTTTAGGATGATGACTGCCCTGATTCAGGTTACTTTTGCTCCAAAGTCCCTTTAACTTTCTTTATAGCATAAGGGGTAGTTTCCATTTTGTGTGTGTTTTATGCGTTCTCCTGTCATCTGCTCATACAGAACAAATGTAGCTGTCCTTATAAATCATGTTACTTGAAAAGAGAGAACACAGAAGTTGTCAGGACTAAACGATCACAATATCTTCTCAAGGCATTGTATTTTATAAATAAACATAGGCATTTTGTCACTCCGCCTGCTCGTCTTTTGTAGGTATCCTGTAGCCGACTAGATCTTTCTGCCTGTGATGAAGATGATAAGGTGTGTAAATGTGAAGTGCAGAAAAACAAATGGTGCACATTCTCAGATTTATTCCCTCTTCAAAACAAGTATTTGAGAATTGAAAAAAAAAAAGGAAAAGAGTATGTTTAACTGTCTATTTACATAATAGAGCTACAAAGTGCTGCATTAATTATATATTATTTTGAATTAAACCTTCTTGTCATTCTCTGCTCTTCATATTAGAGTTCTAGAAACTAACATTTAAGTATGGAGAGGGTTACAGCAAAACTTAATATACTTCACTCAAGAGCTAATTAGCTTCAAGACAATTTTCTCTCACACAGATGGGTTATTAGATGTCAGTAACTTGACATTCTTTAGATTTTTTTTTTAAATAAAAACCCTACCTTTGAGTTTACCTGTTAAGTTCTCCATGTTTACCTGTATCAGCATACACACTTATATATTTTTCTTTCTTAGGGTTGGTCTGAAAGTCACCTAGATATATCTGACTGTTCTTCCAGTTATCAAGATGTATCATGCTATGGTACTTTACCCAGGGAGTCACCTCGCAAGAGCAAAGATGGCAGTGGTGAGACTTTAAAGTATATAAGTAATGACAGTGTTTGTGTTTTTTTAATTACTGCATTAAACCGAAAATTAAATTGTCAGTGCTCTTTTCCTGTTAAATTCTCAGTGCTCGTCTACTAAACATGTTATCCAGCTTCTTGCTTCAGCAGCTAAACATAATATGGAAATAGGGGAAAAAGGGACAAATGTGTGAAGAAATCTGGGAAAGGATAGGAAATTAGTGGTGTCCACAAAACTGAGAGGAAGGCAGAAGAACAAGCTGAATGTGAATCAAAACAATAGAAGGAACAAAAAAAACCCAAACACACCAAAAAGGAGCTGCTACCAGTTAATGAATTTGAAAATTAAGACGTTCTTGTTAAAGTGGGAAGGATCCTTTTGAGGTTCTTTATACGATCTGAATATTTGCTCTGCCATGTCGAGTGTGTCACAGGTGCCTTATTTTTAGGCTGTAACACACTCTTCTTGAACAGGCAGTACAGGTAGAGACACTGCTGCAATAAAGTGGGACTTGAGTGTTTATTCGTTGCTTCCTTGCCTAGAATTGCCTTTTTGATCGTGCTGGTCGTGCAGGACATCAGACTTGGTTCCAGGGCAGAATTGCAGTGCTGTGGGCACAGGTCAGGTGAGGCGCAGGAAGCAGAGAGCTGTCTGTTCCAGTTCAAGGGCACTTCCCACTGTTATTATGACTGAAGTGAAAAGGAGAAGTATTGGAGCTTCAGCACGGAAGAGGCAGATAGTGCTGTTTTCTGCTTTCCTTCTGTTTCCTGACTTGTCAGAGGGACGTGGTGCAGAGCTCTGTGAGGGAAGATTGTCTCATGCTTGGGCCAGTGGTTGAATACTGAAATCCTGACATTCTTTCTGTAGCCATCAGCTTGCCAAATGCATGCTTAACCTTCCCATTATTTTTAATGATGTTGTTGTAGTCAAGATATGAAGAAATAAAATCCAGTATTTTTGCTTTTTGCCTAGGTGTTGCATCAGAGAATTCCCATGCTTTAATGGCCAGCCCTTTTAAAGCATTTTCTCCTCAACCACCAAAGTTTTTCAAACCTTTAATGCCGGTGAAGGAGGAACATAAAAGGAAGACCCCACTTGAAAGCCGACCTCTGCTTAGCCAAGAGGTAATCTTTGAAAACCACTTGGGTTTTTTATGGAGATTGAGTGGTTTTGTATACTTGGCAAATCATTTGCAGCATGCATCTGATGAAGTAGAATTTTGCAATTATCTGGTAAAATTAATCAGGCTGTTTTTAATACGTGGTGGGGTGTTGGTGTTTATTTTTCACCTGAAACACTGAGTTGGATTTTTTTTTTCCACTTAGTGGTAAGTATTCTCCTTTACAAGTTACTTCTGTTTTAAAGTAACAGTAACCTGCTTTTTTTTTTTCTTCTCAGCAAGATGTTAGTGTGGTTTTTTTCAAAGATAAAAACTAATTTTGTGAAACAGTGTTCTAGGGTGGTTACAATTCTGAGCTCTATGCCTCGGCCTAAAACTGTTGGGAGGAGTGCATGGGTGTCTCTACCTATTAACTTAAATTCTGGTGTATACATGACCAGCTTTTGTCGTGTCTTAATGCTTTTCTAACTTGCACGCATTCAGCGCTGTGGTCAGAGCTGTGGTCTGTGTGATGTGTTGTGTGTCTTAACCTTTGCAGAGCATGCCTTCAGCTCGAGGGCATTGCACTGGCTGCGTTGTGCCCTCAGGAAGCAATGCCAGCAGCGTGCCTGTAGAAAGCAATAGCATACGTCACCAAAAGATTGTAAGTTTTGTGCCTGTTACAAGGTCTGGTGGTGGGCTTAGGGCTGTTCGGTGGTGGGCTTAAGAAGCTTATGCTACCGCAGCAGAAAAAAGGTGTAATGTGGATGTAATCACTTCTGATTGATTGTCACGAATGGTTATAGTGAATCGCTGCTTGCCTGGCTTGCAAATGCAATCTGTCATTGGAACTAATTCAGTTGGGGTTTGGTTTGGTTTGGGGGTTTTTGGTTGTTTGTTTTAATATTCATATGTGATTTGTCTTGTGGGGTGGGTGGGAGAGAGGGGAGGCTGTAGTTTTTACAGGGCACAAATGAATCAAGTAAAGGGTGGTTTAGTGAAGCATATTGTTGTCACTCTAATATACCTTGTATGTTACCCAGATTTTGTGACTATACCCCAGAGTAAATGGAATGATCCCATTTGGTGTAAGTAACCATGCATTTAGGTGTGGGTACACTGTAAAAGCTTCTCATTGCCTGATGCAGATGTAATATGACTAAAATAAGATTGCCGCTCTTAATTAAGCTGCAGCCTGTCTTCATTGTAATTCAGATGGTGAATTGAGGTGGAGGGCTTTTATTTTTGTCTTCACCTGCCAAATCCTTTTCTCACTGCTGCTTCAACAAAAGATGTGTCATCATTTCTGCTGTATGACAGACTTGGTTTTTGGGCTGTGGAACATGGCTGTAAATACTTGCTTTAATCAGAGCTTTAAATTTAAAATTCTGAACCTTCAGATTATTTCCCTTAAGTATTATAGGCCTCTTACCACAAAGTGCTAGTGATGGATTCTTTCTATTGAACAGTTATTTTTCATTCCCACCATATAGCCAAGCCATTAAAAAAAATCTGTTCTGGATTTCTAATGCTATTACGTAGGTACTTATACCACAGTACCACAGCGTTTTGATGTATGTGTTTGAAGCTTGGCTGCTGGTTTTGGGTAGCAGCTGTCTTTTTCTCAATCATGTTAATTTTCTTTAAGGTAGCTGACGTGCTGACTCACACCGACTCATTGATACAAATAGCATGAAGGTGTTTGGAAGACAAGATCTTCTAATGGGTTGAAAAACATCCCTTGGAAACTAAATTGTTACAAAATTTTCCATGGCAACTTCAGGGCAGTTTTAATCCCTTGAGTAAAAACAGTGTCCCACCCCATGCATGTCCTGAATTAACCCAGGCGTTTGCCTGTGCTGTTTGCCAAAGATAAGCAGACGCTTTCGTAGCTGGAAAAGGGCAACATCCTGCACCAGGCTTTTCCAGTTAGAATGGAACTAATTCACTGGACACTGTAAACCTGCTGTAGCCAACAGGGCTCTGGAAAGAGCTGTTCTTTCAATTCTCAGCTGCTTGCCCCTACTCTTGCACTGGCTTCTCCCTTGCATCAGCATAGCTTTTTGTTGGGTTGCATAGTAAGTCAGATCAAGGGAACTGATTCATCCAGCTGATGGCTAGACTACCATGAGTTATAGTTAACTAGGTTGGAGTATAAATTTCACACATTTGAATGAATAATGCACTCAGAATGAGTTCAGCGATTACACAGGGCATTGTTGTGGCTCCACCTGAAGCTGCAGCTGTCTGCTTCTCTCTGATTCTTGGTGAAGTTTTCACATTATTAATCAATACTGTAAATGATCACTGCAAGGTACAGAGCCTCATAGTCTTAACTAATCACTGGATGATTGGTGTCGCTTCAGGTGTGATGCTTGCTTGCATCTTAAAGCATGTAAAAAGTGCTGTAGAAATAAAGTGACTAAACAGACAGGAAGCTAGTAATTTTAGCTAGGTGCATGTTCTGCATCTAAGAAGGCATAAAAATGATGTTTGGCCTTTTTCTCATGTTTCTCTGGGATCTGTTCTTAACTTTTCTTGAATGTTCAAAACACATCTGTGAAAGGAATTAAAAAAAAAAAAAAGTTAAAAAATATTTTTATGGAGTTGGCCTGAAATAGAGCATCCAACTATCCAACTTAAAATTTCAGACAGTACTTTCAAAACAGCATGACATAAGGGCGTGCTCTATATAATACACAAGTACAGTGGAATGCATTAAGATCAGATGAAACATTTTCATATTTAAGCATGTTTGAATACTGCCTGTAATTAACATGGCTAAGGGGGGTTTGGCTAAGGGGAAAATCTCCTAGCGGGTGATGAAAATTGAAGCACTAGTGCTGCAACCACTAAATAAGTGTTACTGATTTTTAAATTAGTCAAATGGAAACTAGCATCTCTGAGGTTACTTGAGAGCTACAATTTCGGGATCTGAAAACTCAGATCATAGAATGGT